AAATGATCCCTATAGCCTAAATCCAACTGTTATGACAGTTCCCTAAAATGTATCCAATCCAAGTATTCGGTCAGTCCTATCTGATTATAAATGGGTCTTGTCTTTCTTTAGGCTTTTCTGCTATCGTGCTACAATTACATAATATCGATAATTCAATTTTCAAATATTTTTTGTTTACAAAATTGCTATTGTACACAACTTGTACAAAATCTAACAACATAAACCCCCAATGGTTTACCTGATCTGCCACTGCATAGATTTCTTCCCTTATGCGCACATCACACTTGTAGGTATAAACGGCTATAGCCCCATTGGCTTTGACAAGCTCTGCTGTTTTTTTGTTACCTTCCTCATCAATGTCCCAGAGAACAAGAATCGTGTGAAGACGTGCAAAATTTAATGCCATTTGTCATTAAATTTGTCACAAAAGAACATCAAAATGAAGGCCTCTAAACAGTAATAAATAAACAAAAAGATAAATTTGAAGGTGTCCAAGATGTTTCTCATTGTAAAAATGCTTTTTTTGGACATGTTTTTACCAATTTAAAAATTAGATTCTATTCTAATAATATGAATATAAAAATTAATTATTTTTTTCTGAAAAGTTTGCTAATTCTCTTTTCTAAATTTTAGTATTGAATCCCTTTGTCTCAGGCTCCTGGTGGAAATGCTACTGTCTAATCTATTGTGGAGATAGATATTTCAATGCACTTTGTATATTTTAGAATATATGTGGGAGCCCCACCTGGCCACTCCTCCCACTCCTGTTTCATTATACAGATAATATTCAGACAAGTGATTATGGCTATAATTTAGCAAGAATATGATCATGACCAACACAGAGACGTGACAAGATATTCAAGTATAGCTGGCACTGCCTCTCTTGACATCTAAGCAAAATGCTCCCAAAGATAATAATAATAAAAGGTACAGCCATTTACTGAATTCCATATTATGTTTTCTACGAAAAGTACAGTTTTCAGTGCAGGTTTAGATCTCCCTAAATAAACAGGCAGGTGTGTGCCCTTCCACCCTCCCCTCCACCCATCCCTCAAAAACATAACCCAAGGGAAGACAGTCCCTAAGTTACAAAAACCTGACATTTTTTTATCGTGTCAGGAGCAACTTGAGAAACTGCAAGTCGCTTCTGGTATGAGAGAATTGGCCATCTGCAAGGACGTTGCCCAGGGGACACCCAAATGATTTGATGTTTTTATCATCCTTGTGGGAGGCTTCTCTCATGTCCCCGCATGAGGAGCTGGAGCTGATAGAGGGAGCTCATCCGCCTCTCCCCGGATTCAAACCTGAGACCTGCCGGTTTCCAGTCCTGACAGCACAGGGGTTTAACCCACTGTGTCACCGGGGGCTCCCAACATCTGACTTACATATGACTCACAGTTAAGAACTGGGGAGAGACAACAGAAAGTGAGAGGAAATCTGCTCCTTGGAAGAAAGAATTACCACGAGGGAAAGGTGTTTCCACTGAATCTTTTTCACCAGTCTTTGTTTCCACAGTAAGCAAAATTTTCAAAACACAATTATCACAGGGACAGTAAGTGGGGTGAAATCTTCTGAAGAGGGGCACAGACAGCAAAACAATCACCATATTCCAGAGACCCTCTCACCCACTTCCCCAACATCAATCAAACAATGCATTGTTAATACAAAAATTTTAACAAGATATAGATGCCACCAGTAAGCATATTTTATAACAAATTCCAAAAAAAGAGGGCTAAAATTGATCTATAAGTATGGAGAAGTGGTGGGCCAGGCTTTGCCTGATATCTTTGTATGAAGGTTGATTGATTAATTAAGATTTGGTACACCAATGTTAGCTTTATTTATTTATTTATTTATTTATTTATTTATTTACTGCATTTATACCCCGCTCTTCTCAACCCTGAAGGGGACTCAGAGCGGCTTACAGATTATGGCAACATTCAATGCCACATCATACAACAAATAATAAATATAACATATCAACATATCAGCTTTGAAAGAAGAAGAAAAAACACTGATCCACTAAAGAAAAATACCTCTACAGATATCTCTAAAAGAGACTTTTTTCCAGTCAGGACTTCTAAAACTCTTTGTTTTGCTCATTCAGCAAACATACTGTAAATGACTACAGAGAAGACTGACCATTTCTAATTCATATTTTGCACACAAAGAGCTTGGAAGTTCTGCTGCTTTGGACTAAAGCTCCCACAGTTCCACAGATGCATTGTTAGCGATGATGCTTCCTAGAAGGCTGTTCAGAGAGAAACATTTCCAATCCCTGTATCATTTCCTATATAGCACTAGACAATTTAACACCTAGACCTTCACATTCGTTTTCTATGCCTTACTAGAAGAAGACCAAACAGGTTAAAGATGTAACGAGGATCAGACGACAGGCTCCAACACTTCTTCTAATTTGGCCACCTTCTCTATAACTACACACACAAACCAGGGTTTTTATAGCTTTGGCCCAATTGCTATCTTAGCTTTCAAAAGGGGTGGGATTCTTGTTTGCTTTTTCTATAATTCCCATAATCTATCATTCCTTTTGTGGATTCTTTGAAAAAAATAACATTTCACCCTGTGGTTGCCACTGACTACTGTTTGTTCACTCTAGCAAACTATAAAAAACAAATGGATCGGTATTCAATTAGATAAAGCCAGAAGTGCACATACATAGAGAATGGTGTGACACTACAAAATCAGGATGCTGCTCACCCAGATAAGAATCCTTCCACTGAAATTTTCCTTCAGCTTCCAAATTCTTCATATTCCAGAGGGGGACACACTGAATAATGAGCACACGGAGAACTCTACAGTTTGCTGTGTTCACATTTCTTTACTCACCTTGCAACCCCCCCCCCCCCCATTTCTTGTATTGGCCTAAGCTGTACTCTTAAAAGCTTAACTGAAGTTTTAAGTTACGAGAATGCTAGACATTTGAGAACCGATTAAAAGCTTTACTGGCAGAGACAGGCTTTGTATTTGGAGAGGCAACATTTCCCCTGCTGGTATACCACATACATTCAATGAGAGAATTTACATCTGAGGCACAGGAAGAAAAGATTCCTCCACCCACATGCCCACAGCACTTTCAGCATCTTGTCAGAGTAGAATTTCAAGTGGTTTGTGGTTTCTGTGTCAAAGAGGTGAACTGCTTAGGGAGTGGAACCAATTTCTGGAGGTTCTTCATTGGATGCTACACACTTGCATCCTGGCTATGATGTTTCTGATCTGGAAGAAAGAGATTGTGGGTGTAGGGTAACACTCCAAGACTCTGAGGAATGCCTCCACCCACCTGGAATTTCCTCCAGCTTTGCAGGGTGTCAGGCTGAATTCTAATCAGGAGGCATCTGCTTCAGACAGCTTGACCCTGCCTAGAAGCTGTCTGATGGAACTGTTTACCTAACTTGCAGCACAACTCTGCTTTTAGAAGGTAATTGAGTTCAGTGGTAGTGCAAATACAGCAGCATTGTAAATCTGTATGTAGATGTTTATTTACAAAGAAACTTACTTGAAATCCCTCTTTTTCAATGGGATTTCAAACATGGCCAGCATTCCTTTAAGAAATAAATCTTTCAAGTTGAATACCTTTCAGGCTCACAAATCAGCACTCAAAAAGAACCAATCACATTTCTATCCCTAATCCTGCTACATCCATGGAGGGAGTAGGTAGAGGCGGCCCTAGGTAATTTTCAACGGTAAGCAAATGGTATTTTGGCACCCCCCCCCCAACCAATCACTGATACATATTTTCTGTTCACCATGGGAGTTCTGTGTGCCATATTTGATTCAATTCCTTCATTGGTGGAGTTCAGAATGCTCTTTGATTGTAGGTGAACTATACATCCCAGTAACTACAACTCGCTTATGTCAAGGTCTATTTTCCCCCAAGAGCTCCTCAAGAGTGCCCCTGGGCAAAATCAACTATACTGCAAATGCTTACTTTGCATAATAGGTTGAGTCGCCCCTGGGAGTAGGGATACAAGTATGTTCCTGGACTTCACGTGGCTATATAAAGCTGTGAATAATACCGAACTCCACTGGGAGAAATGACAGAGGTACCAAACGAGAGTGTAACTTAAAAAGGAGGGGGAAATGAAAACTGCATATCCCAATTCTGTGGATAAGGGGTCATTCTGTTCACCCAACTTCCTGGGATCCCACCTATGGAGCAACTGGGTAAGGATGAGTTTGATTGGGTCCTTGTTAAGAATAAAAAATGACAAAGAGAAGCCTCCCACAGGATGGTAAAACATCAAACATCTGGGCATCCCTTGGTTAATGTCCTTGCATATGGCCAATTCTCTCAGACCAGAAATGACTTGCAATTCTCAAGTCACTCCTGACACAACAAGCAAACAAACAAACAAACAAAACAAGATTGGAACACAAGATGGATTACAAATTAATATGATTACAATACAATTAAAAACAGATAACTGATTGGAGGGGGCCTATAAAGTTAAATAGCCTCTGTGTTGGTCTATATATGTTTGTATGTCAAAAATTGGCATTGAATGTTTGCCATATATGTTTATACTGTAATCCGCCCTGAGTCCTCTGTGGGGTGAGAAGGGCAGAATATAAAAGCTGTAAATAAATAAATAAATATTGTGACCCAACCACCAGCAGAATAAACCTCCTTCACTTGGTGCAGATGTTGACTGGTTTGTGAAACCAGTTCAGAGGATGATATTACGCCCATTTATGCCCTGTGATCTTGGTCATATACTTAGAAGATATTTGTAATAAACACTTAAACAGTTAAGAGACTGCCAGAACAAGAGAGTAGAAAAAGCTGAGCCAGAAGACTGGAGTTTTCAGTCATGAGTGAGGAACAATGTCTTATATGCTTCCCAACTCATGAATAAATAAAACAGGGAGAAGTGTGTACAAAATTGTTTCCTTACTTCAAAAGCTCTGAGAAACTATGTAATATTGCTGTCTCTTTAAAAGGAATGAAATAAAGATATGCCCAATACTTTATTTTACTTGCTTGCTTTATTAGGCATAATGAGTGACTGATTGAATTCTAATTGTATATATGTTAACGAAAGAGCGACAAAGTCTGGTGTTAAGAATACATGATATATAATATTGAAAATGAAATAAAGCAGTGCTCAAAGAAGAAGAATTTTGTTGAGTATGAAGCACAACATCTGTTAGATGGTTATTTTCCTTTCTCTTCGAATCTGACTTCTGAACACATCTCATTATGGGCTGAGATACTGTATAAGAAGAAAAACCACTTTTTTGGGAAGAAATCTGTGGAGGAAGCAACAAAGTATTTTTGGTTAGTTCTGAAGCAGTTTGAGGACTGGCCTAAATTGTCTCCCTGCATTCTTGGTCCAATTCTCGGGAGATCTAAGGAAGTACATTTTGCACCTGAGGCCCCATATTCACTGCCATATAATGCAGTTTCACTACCTTGAACTGGATTATATGAGTTTACACTGCCAGATAATGCAGTTCATTTGCATTCTGAAACTGCATTATATGGCAATGTAGATGGACCTTAGAAGAAGAAAATGAGGTACATTTCTTGAGTCAGAGACATATATTTTCAGTAGCAAGAGGCAGTTGCCTAGTTGGATAATTTACTTCTTTTTTGCTTTCCCCCTTATCCCCTTTGTTTTTAAATAGCCTCCTGCACTATAGCCCCCAAGTGATGAAACATTGGTAGGTTTGGAGGTAAGGGTGCTCTTGATCTAAGGAAATGTGCAGCATCCATTTATAGTGCACATTTCAAGACCTATATAAAGAAGGCCTATAAATATATAGATGTCCTATATAGAATTTTCCTTTAAAAAAAAAGCTATGGAAAACATGTGGTATTCTTACATTTTAAAGGTAATTAGTCTCATATAAGATGGCAAGACAAAATAAAATTTCTCTTTCAGAATGGCATCCACAATCGACCTGCCCACATAGCCTACATCCATCCTAGGAATGAGAATTGGCCTCCTGAGGGGGAACAAAAAGTTGACTCATTATATCCTAGAGAAGTAAACCCTGATTATAAGAATATTGAATGATTTTTTAAACTGAAGATCAACTTACGCTATTTTCACACCATAAATCATCCTTGTATCCACATAACCAGGGCAGACAATGGTGGTTTTAATGCCTTTCTTTCCCGCAGCCCTCATTTCAAAAGCAAGAGATTCCAGAAAACCAAATGATGCCCATTTACTTGCAACATAGTCTTTTAAAAAACAAGAAAGGAAAAAAAATGGAAGAAGAATAATTTTTGTCTTGAATACAATACTTTCTACAATGACAATAAAAATTAAGTCAAATGACTGGTTGTTTCATCATTGTCTCAAAGCCTGGTCTGAAACACAACTCAGCAAATAAGTTCTTATGGTTGAATATGACAAAATTGTTCTTCTCAACCCTTCCCTTCATGCCCTCCATCCTCATTGTAAAATCTATTTTAAAGGCTTTAATCTGGTTCACACAGATATATCCATGATCCCATGCTTTATTTGCTAATGTACTAAATAAATACACAGTGATTAATTGCACAGATAATTTGTGTTTTTCACTTTCCCAAAATGCTAAAATTTCATTGAGGTAGGCATAATTCTTATTTTGGAGAAAACATTTTTATTGCCTCCACCCTTCCACGTTGCATACAACAACACAGCTATTATCTTTCTCCTGCTGATAATTTCTAAGAAACATCTCCAGGGCATTCAATGCAGAATGAGCTGACTGGTTATGTGCCTGAAGACTTTATTGGGGTGTTCAGGAATAATATGTGGCACATATTGTTCTGCCAGAGATATAGGAGCTTTATGTTTAAATATCTCATAATATGAACCATCCAGAAAAACAATAGTTTAAACCATGTTGGCTTTCCAAAGTGATTGTTCTTGATATTTATTTGTTTGAAGGAAACAAATTCAAGCATAAAACTCCTAATCTGTTCTTGAAAGTTGAGTTGACTTGCTTGACAGTCACTACAGTCCTACACAGGTCTGAGAAATTATTGAAAAGAAATCAGGTGCAACAGAACCTTTTTAATGCACTGTATATGGAAATGATTCAAGTGGTGCAGATTTTTTTACTAGCCATGTGAAATGTTATTACATTGATCCGAAACAAGCTGCACTGATTGGTTCTTTATTCCTGGATATAGTCCTCATCTCAAGCTCACTGATAAAGCTCTATAGACAGTAGAAAAATTCCTCTCTATGCCAGTGCACTCTCACATTCTAATGTGAGACACACAAAGGCCACCTTCTACTGATCACACGAAAATGAAGGAATCACTGCTATGGCATTTTTCTCACAGAAGTATGCCATTACCTAGTGCCAACCTTTGTCAGCTGAAAACCCTTCTATCTACGTGGGTGTTTTAAGTTGGTTAGTCTTCCTTCTGATTTTTTTTACTACAGCTTGTTGCATGAATATGCTTTCTTATTGTGTATTTATTTAGACTGCCTTGATAACTATTGCCTGAAAAGGAGTTTATAAATATATAGACAAGATCTCCAGATTTTCTTGGATCCTGATTTGTCACACCTATTGAAGTAGAGAACAGAGGCAAGGTATGGATGTCACCATCTTCTTCCTGCAATCTTATATTCTTGATCTGCCTAGCAAGGGGAATTACACAGACACAAGTTTCTCTTTTTAAAAACCTACTATCAATCAGCAACCAAGGGTGGTATTTTCCTATGTAGATCATGTGAGCAGGCTATAGCTGAATTGCTCAACTGGCTTTGACTTCACCTCGCTGGGGTCAGTTTGGTTAAAAAATCAATATTTTCAAGCACAGGTTACAGTTCTTAAGCTATTTTTTTATTTCAATTGGACTGATTTATTCTGAGGGAAAGGACTATGTGTGGTTGTACTCTAGCAATCTCCTAAAGAGATCTTAGAATGAAGCCAGTCAGAGGTAAGTGCAGTCCATTTTGGTGAACCTAATTCTGGATAGCAGTGGTTTATGCCCACATATACCCAATTTCTTACTATCTCATGGTTTCATGCAATAAGACACATGGGAGGAAAGAGCCTCACCAGTTGGCAAGTGGCTTAACTTGATACCAGGATCATTCTAAGAGTCTAACAGGTGCTACAATTAAAACTGTTGCACATATTTTACACCAATAATGTACCATCTGTGGCTGCAATTCCTCCTTCCCCTCTTAAGTGCTTCAGCAGCATCTTGTTCGTCCCATGAAAGTAGATCCATTGAGCCAATAGATCTTACATATAGGTTGATATTCCGAGCTTCCTTATGTTTCAAGTGTGACAGTGTAACAGTAAAAGCTTACAGGAAGAGAACTGGAAGAAATATTATTGAATGACTTCTGGGTGAAAGGGGATGAAGCATGCATGAAAATTACATCTGATACCAACACAAGATTTCTGTGAAGGGAAAGAGGAGCTCTTTGAGTGACAGGACAATTTCTTAAAAAGAAGGGCGTACACTGGTAGCATTGCGGGAAGACAGTTGAAGGAGTCAAAGGTGAGTAAATGTACACTGGGTGGATATCTGAATTAACTGAAGAAAAAAATCTGACATTCATCAGTTTGAATAATATTATCATACAAGTGTCTATTCCAATTGGGCATAATAATTGGATTTAACAAATTGCAGTGATTTCTTTTGTACACTGGTTTAGGTGCAACTATTTTTACGTCTATGCTATATTCACAATGATAAACAGATAACAAACAGACACTTACTGACCTGAGATTTTCTTGTCCCCACACAGTGATGCTAAACTCGCAATTGTAACCAAATGTCCCTGATCCTGGGCAATCATATCTGGCAAAAAAGCTTTGCAAGTCTATAACAACACAGTTGGTTAATCATCATAAATATTAGGCATGTTTCATATAATTCCTGTATTTGCTTTATCACAGTAAGGGATCAAACATTACAACTAAAGCACATTACTGTATGCTGATATAGTAACTGTAATAAGGAGTAGTATTGCAATAATTTACCTTTTAAATATACAGTCTGAAACAATGAATTAATTACATTAAAAATAAGAACATAAAAATTAATATAGAAAAGTTTTGATATATGTATTATTTGGTAAAGGATTTAAGGGGAAAAGAAGAAAGAGAACAGATGAGAAAAAACAAGAAAATAATTGAAACCTGTTTTTTGATTTCCCAAAATAACCCAAATCCATTTTAAAGTTTTTAACGAATTAAAAACTGTAATAACATAATTCAGTAGCTTCAGAGATATCCCCAAAAGAAAATAATTACCCAGAAATGTGCTTTAGCATCGACATCTATTTTTTCTTCCATTTCAGATTCATGAAGATCAATGAAATTCTTCTGACTGTATACACCTGCATTATTGATTAAAATGTTTACAATTCCCACTTCTTTTTTAACCTACAATTAGGGAGGAAAACCATAGATTATCATGCCAAATGCGCACTTTCGTAATTAACTTACAATTAGAAGAAAAAGCTTAGGTCATCATCATGTCAAATCCATATTTGGTCTCTAGTATGGTTAGTGGGAACAAAAGAGACGACCTTCTTGGTAGTGGCTCCCCGGCTCTGGAATACTCTCCCTAAAGAAATTAGATTAACCCTCTCTCTTCAGGCCTTCCAGGTGAGTCTAAAAATATGGCTCTTCAGACAGGCTTTTTATCCTGAGTAATCCATGGTCAATGTGAAGAATCATTGATCGTTGTGATGGTTACAACAGATAGCCAGCTTACCCGCAGGTGCTACTGCATTTTAGGAATTTTATAATTTTATATTTTTATAATTTTATTGGTGAGATTTTTACACACAGTTGATTGTACTTATGTTGTTGTATTTATACTTACATATTGTTGTCTGTATGTGGCACCTGAAGTGCTTCTGTGAACTGCCCCAAGTCTCTTTGGGGAGATGGTGATGGGGTACAAATATTTATTTATTTATTTATTTATTTATTTATTTATTTATTATATTTTGGGCTATGACTCTGGAAACCAGCCTTTCCCACCAAGCCATGGAAACCAATGGGTTGTCTTTGAGCAAGTCACACACTCTCATTAGGAAAACCCAATGACAGGTTCAGAAATGGCTTGAAGGCACACAGCAACAAGTAAAAGCAATTCTTATTATGGGAGAATGGATATCAAACATTTTTCTGATTGTGCAGTTGGAATAAAAATGCATTTTAAACCCCTAGAAATTCCCAATTACCATTCTAGTTGTGGTGTTATTCATACTTTATTTTCTCCTTACACTGGAAATCTGCAGCTAAATGAGATATTGGAAAAGTGGTTTTTGGACTAGAAATTCCATTACTTCTCATCTGTCAATGTAACTGGAAATGCTGAGTGAAGGATTTTAACTTATTCAAGCCAATTCATGGCTATCTGAAGCTATGTCAAGATAGAATATAGGACTCACATATTCATGTTAATATCCTGTTGTGTTTTGCTCTCTCAGTGGAGAGATAATATTGGACACATGGGGGAGAGAAGGAAGATCCTCCCCTCAATTCCTTATTCTCCACTATACTATTTCTAAAATATTTTATATTGAAACACCCCCCTCCCCATGTCTAATTAGCACACATGGGGGAGATGCCAGAAAACAATATGTGTATTTAGAAGGTAAGACAAGAATGAAGCAGAAGTTCTTATGACACCATCTCAAATGGAAGTCTCTCACAATACTATGAGTGTATCGGACCATGTCATTTTTTTCAGAAAATAAGCACAGTTTCTGGTAATACCACATATTGTATCTGTAGTTGGGACTAAAATTGTTATTAAGATCTGAAAGAGTCTCAACCAATCAGACATTACAATAATAGATTAGATCAATGAATCAATTGATCCATGACAATGCAGTATCACCCTGTTTGTTGCACCTCAGAGTAGATTCACCTTGCTGAAGAACACCAAACTGTACACAGCCAGAAGTCTTTATAGTTTATTAAAAATAAAAGGTAAAAAGTTCTTAAAAGCAAAGGTTAATGTTCCAAAAGATCAATATAACATATCACTTGAAGCTTAATCCAAAAAGGCATCAGCAAAGCAAAACCCAAGAGAACATGACAAAGTCCTGGAACCATGAACAACAAAACTGCAAGATAATCCAGCCTAGTTTAGGCAAGCTCCTTAGGTGAACATGAAGTTGCTTTTACAAAGATCTGGTCTTAAACACACTGTTTAATACTCTTTGCAAAACATAAAGGCGTTTTTCTGGCCTCTGGCCTCCCTCTTGTTAGCTATTCTTTCACTCCTTCAAATTCGGAATTTCAACTAGTCAGCCCGATCTAAAGTTCCCATATCATCAACGTCAGTTTGTTTGTTAGTGTTAGCCTGTTTCCCTGCTGGTTCATTATCAGGCTGAGAACCAGGCTGAGAGCTGTCTTCCTTCTCTGAGTCAAACTGCACCTGGCTATTTTCAGTATCAATACTCTTATGCCTTACTGTGGGAAACTGCATTTCTTCACTGCCTATAACAGGCATTTCTTCACTGTCTATAACAGAGACATTTTGAACCAAATTGTGAACCTGAGTCCCATCATCCCCATCAGAAACACTCTCTGATTCCAGCTAAGTTACAACACTGTTTTTACATCTCTGACTGTTGTGTCATTCAAGTCCAGAAATCAGGGGGATATACAAGGGAAATCCATGCATAAGATTTCTCCATCTGCAGTTCATCAAAAATATTAATTTTGTCTTAAAAGTCTAGGAACCCATTTTCACCACCTTTAGTGCCAATTAGATCCAAGATTTCATTACATGGACTAATAATAAATTACTTTAAAAGGGTCTGTTTTCCTTTTTGCAAACAACTAAGATCAATTGGAGGATGCTATCTAGAATAAAGTAAGTGCTTTCTATTCTTCCAGTGCTTCACACTTCCGGATGCACATTCTTCAGGGCCCCCATATCCCAGAGCAGATATTTAGGGATGGGTGGTATAATTAAGGGAAACAGTAACTGAGAAACAGTAACTTTGTGCAGCTGTGTTCTGTGCAACTTTGTTTACAACTGGGGATAAAAATATTAGTCCCTTTTTGTTTTCCTTCGTTTCTATTATCCCCTCCCTGGCATATTTTTCCTATATCCATGTCACTTTGTGCTTAAATATGTGCAACTACTTTTGTGTAGATTTCTTCCTGCATTTTTAGTTGGATGTTAGTTCAAAGTTATTATTGTCAGAGATTTGACATGCAGTTTTGTATGCTTTTCATGAACAGAGGCACTGTTGTTCCACATTCTTCAATGTCTGCATTTTTTTTAAAAAAAATGCACTAAAACCTTTTATAAAGTATAAATACTGAAAAGCAGCTCTATTGTGTATTCCAGTTCATCCAGTGATTTGAAAGACATTCATATGAAAATGACAAGTGAAGAAAATTCCATACATCCTAAACCTAGTTGTTATGACTGCTTCCTAAAGTGTCTCAAATATAAGCATTCTGTCTTACCTGACTGTAAACTGAATGTGCTGTTATTTAGCTTTTTCTGCATCAATTTATTTACAGTATTACAGTATTTATATACCACTTTTCTTATCCCTGGGGGAACTCAAAGTGGTTTATAAAAAATAATGGCAAAATTCAATGTCTTACATACATAAAACAAAAATTAAATCAAAGAGCACACGACTAAGCATAAAATACAATAGGACAAATTCACCATAATAGGACATGGAGTATATTTTTAAAAAAAATCTAATAAAAACATTAAATTTACATGATCCCAACTTGTAGACAGGGCCATTCCAGATGTCGATTACATATATTCCATATTTACTTTTTCTACCGTGTTACTTTACTAGTCAAAAGCATATTCCCATAATCATGTCTTTGTTCTCTTTCTAAAGACCAGGAGAGAGAGTGCTGATTTAATCTAATTTCACTGGGGAGAGAGTTCCAGAGTCAGGGAGCCACCACTGAGAAGGCCCTGTCTCTCATCCCCACCAACTACACTTTCAAAGCAGGTGGGGCCGAGAGCAGGGCCTCCCCAGAAGATCTTAACCTCTGTGATGGTTCATAGAGGAAGATATATTCAGATAGGTAAGCTGGGCCAGGCTATGCAGGCTTCGCAGGCTATGTAGCAATATATTTACCAATCACATTATTTCCACAAATATATTTTGGCTGAGTAGTTGCTATTATAGATGACATTTCCAAGAAGTAATAACTACAAAACACAACTGTTCATTTACCTGATCTGCTACTGCATAGATTTCATCCTTTATGCGTAAGTCACACTTGTAGGTATAAACGGCTATAGCCCCATTGGCTTTGACAAGTTCTGTTGTTTTTTTGTTACCTTCCTCATCGATGTCCCAGAGAACAAGAATTGCGCCAAGGCGTGCAAAGTTTAATGCAATCTGTCGTCCAATTCCATTTGCAGATCCTGTGACAAGCACTATTTTCCCAGCAACATTTTTTCGAACACAAAAAAGCATCAAAATAAAGGCCTCAAAGCAGTAATAAATAAACAAAATTATAAATTTGAAGGTATCCAAGACACTTCTTATAATAAACATGCATCTTTTCAACATATTTTTCTAATTTACTGGTAATGGCAATATAAACTATTGCTAATTTGTTTCCTGAAAAGCTTGCCAATTCTCTTTTTAAAACTTTAGGGCTGAGCCTTCTGTCCTAGTCCTCAGGAGAAAATGCTATTGTCTAATCTACTATGGAGATAAATATTTCCAAGCACTTTATATATTCGTGAAAGTACATGGGAATTCTCTCCTCCCACAATTAGATTTGATTATACAGACATATTTCAAACAAAAGACTATGGCTAGATGTGTGACAAGATATCCAAGGTGCTTATTATTATAGACATGATTATTTTGAGCATAGTTTCCTAATTTAAAAATGTAGAGAGCTAAACTGTACTAAATTTCTTCAAAAAAATTGGCAAGTTCTTTTAAAATTATTTCAGTCACCTCCTTTCTTAATATGGTATTAAGATGTGTCTCATCCGACATGACCATCACTATGAATTGAGTTTAGTTTAAAGCATTTTTCTTTCATTTATATTTAGATTTTTTTTACTCCAGATAAAAAAAACACATTGACTCAGGCTATAAGTTAATATAATTGCACTGTAAAAAAACTCACAAACCTTAAGGTTTTACAGAACTTTTTGTAATGTTTAATCTTAGTCATGTACATAAATTACATGGATGTTTGAGGTTTCTTTGGAAAGGAATCTGCTGGAAAGTTAATTATGTTTTATTTCATCTTACATTCCTTTCCAAAAGTTGGGCATAAAATTATTGTTATATCTCAATTCTTGTACTAAGAGCTGAAAGGAAAAAACTTCTAAGCCTGTGTTCAGTTATGGGTAATCATAATAGGTTATCACTCGTGGCTGAGTATGATTGCCTTCCAAACGTAGGTTCTTGATTGTGGGTCCCTAGAGAACTATTCTTGATCCATACAGCGAGGACATCAGTTTCCAGATGGAAGGTGGTTCCAAAAAGGGTTGGCTTGACACATCTTTCTCTTGACACATTTCTCCCTTTGCCCTCTATTCATGAATTTTCCATGGCACTATTGGTAACAGCAAACCTCCAGTAAGAACATTTGAGGGCCAGGACTTCACGGTTCTCAATGTCTATGTCTCAGTTTTTAAGGTTAGCCTTAAACCCAACTTTACGTCTGTTTTCCTGTTCACCCAGATTCTGTTTTCCTTTCTTGAGTTGAGAGTAGCGTAACAACACTGATGCATTTTTTTCCAGAAGTTGAGCCAGAAGTTGAGAGTGACGTTTGTAGATGGTTCATATTTTGCAAGCATATAAGAGGGTTGGGAGGACAATAGCTTTATAAACAAGCATCTTGGTAATCCTGAATGTCCCAATCCTCAAACATTCTCCACTTCATTAGAGAAAAAAACCTGTCCTTGTAGCCCTCAGATGGTGTTGTATTTCAGTGTCGATGTTGACTTTTGTGGAGAGCTGGATACCAAGGTAGTGGAAATGGTCAATATTTTCTAACATTGCACCAGTAAACTGTATTTCCACCATTGTAAAGGGATTGCTTGGTGCCTGCTGATAAAGCACCTTCCACATAATCAACAAGCTACCATAAGTTTAAGTTTTAAGAAACAGAAACAGAACAGACCTCTAACATGTGTCTTTCTCTCTCATGCAAACTCCACAAAGATGCTGAGGGGAAGAGACCAGCTTTTCAGAAAGCCATGTGATTGCCTTTCTTCTTCTGATTAACTCACAAGGAAAAAAATAACATGCAACTGCCCTTGTCAATCGCATCAGACCCCCCCCCCCTTCTCCCATGACAGACATTTATGGATAATGGAATAGGGAAAAAAAACTTCTGAAACAACCAATTTTTATGAATATTTCTGAAAGTATTGGAAACTTGTGTTTTGATTCGTAGTGCTTTGGAGGAGGTCTCTTTCCAATTAGATAAAAGTTATGAAATTATTAACAATTATTAGTGTTGACGGTATTATTTTAAGTTCATATGGAATCATTACAATCAAAATATGATAATAGGAGTGTACTCATTAACAGATTAATTTATATACTCTTCTCTTTCAATTTGAAGGATCTTCTTGAGAAATTAGAAATATTTTTTGATGCAATCTAGTGCCTGAAATCTTGAGTTTAGTCTTTGGGGTCCATGGTTACAAAAATATTCAAAATGGGGTCTGTGGTGAAGAAAAGGTAGAGAACTACTGACCCAGAGAAAAGAAAACTGAGAAGTAGTAAGAAATCAATCTTTCAATATTTGAAGGCCTATTATAAGGGAAACAGAGTACGTTTATTTTCCACTGTTGCAGAGGGCAAAATGTTAACTTGTTGTTCATTTATTCCGTTGCTTCCAACTCTTCATGACCTAATGGACCAGCCCACACCAGAGCTCCCTGTTGGCCATCACCACCCCCAGCTCCTTCAAGGTCCCGCCAGTCACTTCAAGGATGCTACCCATCCATCTTGCTCTTGTTTGCCCCCCTTTCCTTTTTCCCCAGCATAATTGTCTTCTCTAAGCTTTCCTGTTAACTAGATGAAGCAAATTACAAAAAAACCAAAAACTACCCAATGTGTCCGCTATATATTAGCAAGAACTTTAATAGATATATTGATTGATTCTCTGCAATATATCCATCCATCCATACATACATACATATATGTTAAAAGTTAGGCAAAGAAAATATGGTGCTCCAAACATACATGGAACAGCAGGACACTAAGCATATAGTACATTTGCTAGTCTGCTATTTTCTTTCTTCTTCGAACTCAATGGCTGAAGTGTTCTAAATTAGATTCCAAGATATTCTGCAAGATGGGAAACCACTTTTTCAGGAAGAAATCTGCAGATAAGACCAAACAAGATTTCCAGTTAACTCAGCAAAAATGATTTGTTATTTAAGCTCATCTCAATCTCCTCCTGGCCTTTTTAGCTATGTAGCTTAGGCCATTCTTTCTGCATAGCAGATTGAAAAATTCAGATACATTTCTGGGGTGAAAAAAATTCAGGCCAAGGACTGCACTTTCCCCATCTCTGCCTTAAGGGATCTTGGGTGTGAAGCAGGTGAGTGATAAGGGCACTCTGGGTATTATTTGACCTGCTTCACCTTTAAGTGGCAGGAAGAACAACACACAAAAGATGGTTATGGAAGACAAAGATCTTACTTGGTTACATGATATTTCAAGACAGATTTAATCAAAATAAGAGACGTGCAGTAATATAGGTTGGAAGAAGTGAGTTATAGTTGTGTAAAGATTATGGCGATGTAATTAAAATGTCTAAATGCCTTTTGAAACTAGAGATAGAACATGAAGCTGTAAAAGAGTACATGACAATGTGTGACCAAAATTGAGGAAAATTGATATATGGGGTGTACTATATAAGATTTACTGTGTATTAATTTAAAAGAAAGCAACTGTATATGATGGTACTTAATTTCAAATAACCTGCCAGAATTTTCCCAGAGTATTTCAAAGCAATTGTGAAGTGATCTAGATAAGGAGGGCTTTTGTTTCACATGTGATTGACTTGCATAAAGGTAACAAATTTCTTGTTTGGGGTTTATATTTTTATCCCAAAAAAGATAGAAATGTTGGGTATTATGGATAAAGAATTCAATAATAAACATGGTTCAAGAATATACTTGAGAACAGACTGAAGCACTGATGGAAAAATGGATTGCAAAAGTCACTGAGGGTAGATTTATACTGCCATATAATCCAAATTATCAAAGCAGATAATCAATATTATTACAATATTAATCAAACCTGATTACAAGGCTGTGTAGATGGGGCCTGAGTTAGCTCATGTTGCCAAACCAATGTGAATACTAAAGGATAAACCAACTGAACTTTTTCTGAAAGATTGGAAACTGCTTATGGAGTTTTTGAGCAATAAGAAAATTAATTATATAATATGTGATGACAGTTATTAGTCATTTGTAAGATTATGTCATTTGATCTATCATGGTAAAATAATATGCTTTCTTTTCTTTTTTCATTACAGGTTGGATTATGGTGCCAGATCCCTATTGTCTTTCAATTAGTTAGTGCTTAGCGTATTAGTGTTTTGTTGTAGATTTAATTATTTTTCCTTCTTTTCTTTTTTTAAAAATATACATTTCTGTAGCACCCCAGACCTTTGGGTTCCAGGAGTCCAAAGGGTTTGGGATGGCAGTGAGGACTCACCCGCAGGTAGTTCAGGACTACCAGGAAGTGAGTTCCCATAGGTCCAATACCCCATTAGACACAGGTCTTTCAGGAAGGCCTGGATTAAATAAGATATCAAATTAATTCAGAATTCCTTAGGTTATATCAAATTGATTCATTATTTCTAGAGGCATTGCTTGGAAGCCTCCCATAAAAACCCAGACAGGTCCAGGGATATGGGCCTGTCTGGATGAGCCCTAGGTGATACTCTAATTTGCAGTGGGCTTACTTCTGAGGTTACAGTCACATACCCACACTTTGGTCCTTTCTATTTTATCTTTATTACCGCATGCTCTTAAAAGGCAGTTCCCAAAACTTTCAGCAAATAGAAACAGGGCCTTAAAATAGAAAATTGTTTGTTCAGTGTTGCATGTAAATAATATGGAATGCACTCAGTGTTTACCTGCAAAGATAAACATCTCATCAATTGTCCTGGATTCTGAGCAAGTTTTTCCCTTGCTGACACCTTCATAATTTCAAGGTTGTTCTATAGTAATTTGTATGGTGCTATACAGCAGCATGTCACTAGATATCTTACATTTTGGGAGAAAGATGGAATATGAAGTCAACCAATCAATAATCAAACCCAGACCAGATATTCAAATCGAAAACATTTGTTTCATTCTTATTATGTACTAGCTGTCCCCTGCCACGCGTTGGTGTGGCCCAGTCTGGTGATCTGGAAAATAAAGTAATGGTTTCTAAAATATGTAACTCCTTTATGATTGTGGGTAAACAGTATTCCTTGTTGTTTCTATGTCAGTGCTGATGTGGAGATTGTCTGGTTTGCCTACTCTGGAACATGTGACATATAATTTTCCTTCTTTAGGGGTCGCTTTCAAATTGATGATACTATATCTGTGTGTATGAATCATATATATCTATCTATATCTATGGCTGGATGGCTCTTTGTCAGGAGGGCTTTGATTACGTTTTCTTACCCTGGTGAAGAGAGTTGGACTGGGTGGCCTTAAGTATGGTGGTTCTGTGTGGGAAGTTTGCCCCAATTCTGTCGTTGGTGGGGTTCAGCAAGCTCTTTGATTGTAGATGAACTATAAATCCCAGAAACTACAACTCCCAAATATCAGCGTCTATTTTCCCCAAACTCCACCAGTATTCACATTTGGGCAAAATGAGGATTCGTGCCAAGTTTGGTCCAGATCCATCATTGTTTGAGTCCAAAGTGCTCTCTGGATGTAGGTGAACTACAACTCCCAAACTCAAGGTCAATGCCTACCAAATCCTTCTAGTATTTACTGTTGGTCATGGGAGTTCTGTGTCCCAAGATTGGTTCAATTCCATCATTGGTGGAGCTCAGAATGCTCTTTGATTGTAGGTATACTATAAATCCCAGCAACTACAACTCCCACAAGACAAAATCAATTTTTTTGAGTGAAGGACATACATTGGATTGTTAAGTGTCTTGTGTCCACATTTGGTGTCAATTCATCGAATGGTTTTTGAGTTCTGGCCAAACCCCATCCTGAACATTACATTTTTATTTATATAGATTAGGAAATTTTAATACATTGTCTGTAATCCTGGATTAGGAGATATGCATCTTACATGTAGCTTCCTAGTTTTCCTCCCAGCAGGTGAGTGTCTGTTTCAATGCTCCTATCCACCTTATTATGCTATGCAGACCTTACAATATGGCTATTTCAATATCATTGCAGAGTGGGCAGGGAGCCCAGCAGGAATGCTTCTATCTGGATGCATTCGAACAGGTATTCTACATAGACCTCAGTTATCCACAGAAACGCACTGTAGAGGATGTTAATGGGTACCTTCAACTACAGTCATCCTGCCACATTCACTGAAGTTAGAAGCACAAGACCTTTGTGAAAGTGAAAAATGTCATTCTTAAAATCTTAGAGGACATCTCTCCAGGAATTTGTAGATCTTCTTGCATGATTCTATGACCAATTTCCACTGGAAACTGATCACAGCATTATTCTGGAGGACTTAGAAGTTTTTAGAGAAGTGTTCTCTCTAGAAATCTTTAAGTCCTCCAGTATGACTGAAGAAAGTTGACTATAGAATTATACTGGAGGACCTAAGTATTCCTAGAGAACATTTTAATAATATCTGTTAATAATAAAATCTGCAAAAGGCCAAGACCCCAAGTCTGGAGGCATCCCTTTCCCACTCTCTGTTGACATGGAAATGAATTTACAGGGAAAGATTGCAGCATTTAAAATGTGAGGTTTCAGGATGGGGTTTGGCCATTGTTCAGTTAGTTAGATATGCACAATTACAAAAAAGTGACAAAAAGACATTATATTAAAACTCAATAACAGAATGAAATGAAAAATGTTTCAAAAGTCAGGAAATATTTTGCAGCAATTTGGATTTTGATTAAACCATTCATTGTTTGGTAAATTGCTAGGCAAAGTGTTTACAAAAAGTGGCTATTCTTACTTCCATCTTTTAAGCAAAATACTTAAAGGCCACTTTCCTGTGAAATAAAACCAAATGTAGACTATAGAAAGTAGAGGACTGGGTGTCAGATATTACTTGAGGTAAGTTTATTTATTTATTTACTATATTTATATCCTACCCTTCTCACTCCAAAGGGGACTCAGGGCGGCCTTACAGATAGGCAGGATTTTGATGCCTTTAACAACAAACAATAAAATAAACAAGTACTTTAAAATAAAAAATTAAAACAGATCAATACTAAAAGCCAATTATTAAAATCACCCTATCCAGAATCGTAATCTAAGGCCATTCCATTTCGTCATATCACTAATCCATGTTCTCATATTGCACTCAGCTTCTATCCAAAGAATTGGTCCCATAAACATGTTTTGCTTTTTTCCTGAAAGTCAGGAGGGAGAGGGCTTCTCTAATTTCACTGGGGAGGGAGTTCCATAGGCGAGGGGCCATCACTGAGACGGCCCTATCTCGTGTTGCCATCAACCGCATCTGTGAAGGGGGTGGGATGATGAGCAGGGCCTCTCTAGATGATCTTAATCGCTGAGAGGGTTCATAGAAAGAGATACATCTGGACAGGTAAGCTGGGTCAGAACCATTTCGGACTTTATAGGCTAAAGCCAGCACTTTGAATTTTGCTCAGTAGCAGACTGGCAGCCAGTGGAGCTGACATAACAGGGGGTTGTATACTCCCTCTGGCTGCTGCCCGTTGGACAAATTGAAGCTTCTGAAAAGTCTTCAAAGGTAACCTAATGTCAAGTGTGTTGGGGAAATAATTTTCTTTGCTTCATTCGGATAGTGAGAGAAATCTGAACAAATAAAAAACTCATAGAAATTCTTACATTTTAAGAAGAATGAGTCGTGCATAGGCTGGCAGGACCACATAAAATTTATCTTTCAGAATGGCATCCACAATCCGCTTGCCCATATATTCTGGGTTGAAGACAGGAAGTAGAATTGGCTTCCTAAAAGAAGACAAAATGTTAATTCTGTATATTCTGGAGAAAATAAAACCAGGATTATTTGCTCATTGATAGTGCTGACAAAAAACTCTTCATTCCAGGTCCATCCCATGTGGGATAAGATGCATCTGTTGCTGTATTACGTGCATCTTCATGGCAAATGCCACCAGGTGTTTCCAACTCCCGTTTTTATTGAACCTATTCAAAAATGATGACTTACGCTGATTCTGCTTTAGTAATTAATTTTGTATCCACGAATCCAGGACAGACGATAGTAGCTTTAATGCCTTTCTTTCCTGCTTTTCTTAGTTCAAATGCAATAGATTCCATAAAGCCAAATGCTGCAAATTTACTTGCAGAATAGTCTAAAAATTAAGCAAAATGATTAAATATGTACCAACCAAAAGAAATATCATATCTGAATATGTTTAGAGATAAAATATTTACAAATCTGATAACAAATACATTATAAACTTCCCTCAAAATCCAGTCATAAAACCAGTGACTGATAAGTAAATACTTACAGTTGAATGCATTAGTCAAATGGATCAAATATGACATTTCTGTTTCTTACTATATAACAATTTTAAATCTTATCTTTCCCCCTGTTTAAACTCTACAGATTAAAATATTTATACTGATTCAGTCCACTTCTTGGATTCATGCTTTAACTGTATAGTTAATAAATTCATGAAGAGTGTGTGGATAATTAATAGAATCCACTGTCCCACAAATTCTGCCAACAAAAAGTGCTTAGATAGATGGCATTAGAAAAGAACCAGACATATGATAGAAGATAAGATTAATGCAGGAACAGCTGTATGTAAAGCACAGATGAACTTCTGAACATGACAATAGAGAGTTTATATTTTATTTCCAAATAGAGTGTTGCTAATTTTGTGCTCTCAAAGGGCAAAACATATCAGAATGATTTTACAACTATAGTAGTTCAGATGTAATAGGTGGCACATCTTATCTTGTAATGATATAATAAATCATAGGATCATAGAATTAGAAGAGAGCACAAAGGCCATGCGGTCCAACCTTCTGCCATGCATAAACACACAATCAAAGCTCTTTGCAATGTATACTTTAATGTCAGGAACCGGTTTCCAGGCCTTGAGTCTTGGCCCAAAAAACCAGAATCCTGACATGGACTGCTGATAAGAATGTGCAGCTGGTGGCCTTGGGGGAAAGCAGTTGGCATTTGGCGGGGAATATTGCGCAGGATTCTCGGCCGGCGGGAAAGGGGAATTCGATTGTAAGGGAGGGTATATAAGGGTTAAACTGCGGCTGCCGGCCAATCCTGGCTTTCTTCATGTATGAATGTCCAGCAGTAAAAGTTCCTGATTGATTACGGATTGGCGTCCTGTGTCGTTATTGGGAGCGGCTGCTGTGAGCTCACATTAAGCCAGGATTGATCGGGACCATCCCGCGGCTGCGGTGAGGTACCCTTATGGAACGGGAGGAAATTCCAGCGGCAGGGGGAGAGCCGGAC